CACGGACTTCAGAGTGATGAACGTCTTGATCATCATTGTGGGCCAAATTTGTCCGTGAGCCCCTCCAGGACCGCTTCGTGCTGTCGGAGGGCCATTTTTCTTATTCACATACTCATGAATATCTCGGTGAAATACTCCTGGTTTCGGTCGCTCCGAAGCCTCGTGACGCTCTTACGTTGTTAGCAAACGACATCGATCCTACAGTGGAGTCAAAGGAGGCTATTGTCACTCCAACATTCGTAGGGATATTGATTGCTTCTTTGCTATTCGTGTTCGTAACGGAAGCCTCGCGACATAGTCCGAAGACTCGTTGTTCATCATGGAACCACCAGCACCGTATGGCTGTGTCAGTCAGTGTTCGACTCGAGAGCACAGGAACACATCAACATTATGCATTGTCAGGTTGCCAGGTGATTATTCTCCAAAAAGGGAAGTAACGCATGTGACATATCGAAATTCTCAGTGAGGTGACCTTAACACCACATAGTTCCTTCATACAACATCACATGATCTAAGACAGAGCCGAGAACTTCATGCAAGATGAGCCCCTGGCAAGGCCGTCAGTGGGGATGTCACCGCGGTCGGCTTGAAATAGTAAATATAAACCACGGAACTGAGTTGGTCCTGCAAAAAGAGACACCGCATCGACACAACAACTGACAATTGGCTTTTTGCAAGAGAGGAACAAGATAATTGGAACAAAGGTCTCTGGATACGACAAGATCTTACTGATAATGTGGCGTTAACTGGTACGAAGTTCGCACCCTTGTAGAGCGCCCTTGCATCATTATCCTCAGCCTCGACCACCGAGAATATCGCTGATGTCTCAGGCTTTGTTCGTTTTATCTAAAGACAGCTTTATAGCCGTTTCGACTTGCGTCGATGGTTCCTGACATCATTTAGCGCTCCTTTTAGCAGGTGCTCTTTCACTCCATCCTTATCCCAGCTCTCATCGCTGAAGAAATGTTCTATCCTTCCTATTTCCGCACCATCATGCCTAAAAGCAGAATTTATCCGAGTAACAGTCGGGGAAACGGAGGAAGGTTGCCAGTATGAGGTCAGAAATACAACTTACAATGCCGATCTGACAATGTCGCTGTACCGTTCTCCCTCGTATGGAATCCTGGTCTCGACGAGACCAACGACTTGCTGAGTAAAAGCCCATTTTGAGAAGACTACTGTAGTCACGATGGAGCGCCAGTGACACGAAAAGGATGGCGAACAGTAGAAGTAGAGCTACAATTGAATTTTCCAATAGCAGAAGATCAGATGAAGGGCCTATTTGGTGTTATTCATCATGCTTACTCTCTTTGTTATAAACTGAGTTGGATAAATGACCGCCACAAATCTATGTTCGGATCCTGTATCCTTCAACTTGTAGGGTACACCATTTTCTTCATCTCCTTCTTTAGCAGGCTCATACACAATCTTAGCGCTAAGCGGTATGAGATCTGGCCCTTCGGTCACATCAGGACTATCGGGAATGATGGATTCAGTTGGAAGTCTCAAATTCGGCCGAGCACGCCGCTTGGAAGTCGACAACGCACATACTAATGTGGCCGTCAGAATGGCTGTTCGCATGGGGTCGACAACTGAACAACTCCTGATGGCAATTCGTTCATACGGAAAAGATCTATCTCGTTCAATCCTGAAGCCGATACGTGGGAACCATTTGTCTTCTGTGGAAATATCCGCAAACTCATCTCGAAAGAAAATGCGAGCACTCCGGGAGAGTTGCGTTCACAAAGCAGAAGTATAATATCTCAGTAAGCCTGTTACAGGCTAGTCAACCTCAAACTGCTGCGCCGTCAAGGCCAACGAGGTGGTGCGGAAACACATCTTTCGAGCGATGTTACATTATGTCTCCAACGACAGCCGAGCGAAGGATAGATAAACCATCCAATTGGAAACAGTGGCTGTCATGGTCATTTCGAGCGTTAGTTTATCTCGTCTCCGTTGATTAGAGAGTTCCCGTAGTTGGTAATAGAGTTTTTATGTTTAATGAGTTCGAAAACAGTTTGAGTGTGAATTGATTGAGGCTTCAGAAAGCCAATGATGATGACAGCGCGTACCTCGCATCATTACGGCAGTGTGAGCTAAGACATGATTGATTTCGGCAGTTACTCAGTTGTTTGAGGGCGCGCTTCTCCATTTGGGTTCCTGCCATTGCCGTAGCCCGTGCCGCTATCACAGTGCATACGTTAGGACTCTGTTACGGATGGTATTCTTTAGAGACGATCGGAAGTTGGTTTTTTTGTTTCCAATTTCGAAACTGCATTTGATAATTTTCGCTGCCGACTTTGAAGGCTCTACACCTTTTCCCGTGCGAGCTTGAGAAGTGAGCGGGCATGAATGGCAGTGTACACGTTCCGTACAGAACGCAGCGTTCAATAGACCTATCCTGAGTTTAAAGAGCGATCCCAAGATCGAGTTTTACATTGGGATCCAATCTTGGGTGTACTCTAGGAGCTCAGGAAGAGTCTATTGAGCACGATAATCTATTTCTTCTTGGTGGGCGAGCTTGGACGGGCGAATCTGAAACGGGAAGATATACTCCGGCGTTAAAACTTTCCGATCGCCATGTACTAATCCATATCGATATGCCGACTGAGTCCGGACATGTCAGCTATGCTGACATGAGACGGCTCTTAGTGGAATGCTCTCTAGCCATGACGAATCTCGAATCCGAGAGTGCCCTTCCCTCCAAGGAGCTCCGACAGGCATCTCCCAGCATCTTCCATTATAGGAAGGGTGAGTCGCTTGCGGATTGGACTGCATGAGCTTTTGTGTCTCAGACCGTCTGGAGGACCCCACTGCAGATCTCCGTTCCAGGAACGGCGACATGCAAGAGGTGAGTCAGAAAGGACCAGGGAAAGCATTCCGGCTTCTTCTTTGTATAGGTCCATAATTATGACGAGGGAGCCCTGTCAACTAATTCATTGCAGTGAGCTCAAGATATTCATAGCATGCTCCTTGTTTGCTCTTCAGATTTATCAGAAATGTCAGCTCTAGAATTACACGGAATGCGAAGCGTGGCGCTAGACGTCGAGTGTTTGATGCCGTCAACGAGGTGGCCGGGATAGGGAACTTCCGAGACCGTCTCATACGACAACGTGACGAGACTAGAAAGCGTGAGCTCTCTCGAGGTCATCGGACTGATGGAACGCTTGTTTTAGGTTGTCGAAGCCAGTTGGGATCCAAGCTCAATGAACTACGCGAGGTCGCGGATGAGCTCAGGCGACAGGTGGGTTATGACGAGTACAGCAAGTGCGACTGTGATGTTTCAGACTGCTTCCGAAGGATATGGCGAGCAGACTAGCGAGGTCGCCGGGGTGAGCCTATTGTAGCTCATGGGACTAACAGAGATCTATTAGCCGACCTTTTAGAAGCATGAATTCAATGGATGTCTCCAAGATCCAACCCGAGCCAGGAAGAGGATACGCCAATTAGTAGAGACCATCGATGCTGATGATTTCGCTCCTACAAGAGAGCTTCGAGCTGCACTCGATGGTGATGACGATTCAACCCTGGTGACCTCAGTGACCGTCGGGGTATGCCCTAATTCGGAACGTGTTAGATGACCGAGTTGGATAACCTCTGCCTCACACTCGAAGGGGAGCTTCCAACCAGTAACCTGCAGTCTACGCGTCTCATAGAGGCACCAGCGGGGATGGTACGGTGTGTTGAGGCTTGAAGATTTTTCGTTCACCTATCGTTTCAGAACGTCCCTGAGGAAAAGGTGCTGAGCTCTCAGACTAAGATCAGGAACAGCGAACTCCAAGTAATCACTTTTGAGGCCCAAAAGGGCATCCATCTAAGGTTGCCGTGTATTCTTGCCAAAGCACTCTGGTATATTCGGCTGTGCCCATTCGTCCACTTCTCGAGTCTTTAGGCACACCTCTGAATGTAGGCCATCTCTTCTTCGTGATACGAGCTTGTCAGGATTCCCAGCCTTACTTGGTCCAGGTGAAATCGTCTACAGCTGAGTTGGCAACCTCGCCCCTAATGGCATTACCTCTTCTAGCGGGTTATCCCAGTACTGATGACTCAGATGCTGTCGTTGACAGCGGATCCCCGAACACTGCATCTCATTGCTCACCCAGGAAGGTGGGGAACACAGAGGTATACTCTTCGGGCACTGTATTCAGGTGAGACGATGTGATCAGCGTGATGACCGGACTCCAGAACATGGAGACCGTTAATGAATGCATGATTATGGTGTTATTAGATGTTGCTGATTTCTCAACTATGAGGTTCTGTGTTTGGTTAGTAGTAAGTCGCGAAAACTAGTAGTTTGGAAGGTAAGGGGCGTGTATTCGCTCGTGTGGAATCTTGACTGGAACAGTGACAGTATAGTAGAACACTGCGCATCCATACTGTGAAGCTTCTTCAATTCCGACATCTTTCATCTTGAGCAGGATCTAATGCAACGCATTGTAAAGGGATTATAGCTCTGGCTCAACTCCAAATTCGACATCCGGGTTCTACCCCAGCACCTGGCATTTTTCTGTATTTTCCCAATTGCGCTATACACGTCACGATTGAACTGATTACGGTGTTAACGTTAACGTTTTGCTGAGTCCTCCCGCTATTCGTGGCAGGTGAGGTGTGTTATTCACTCGTCTTCTCTTTGGCAATCCCCGGCATCATATCACAATGCTAGTCCTTCTCGAAACAGCAGCGGGTTACGGCCTCTTTAAACTACAAAAGGACAAGATCACCGCGAGTCCCGATTCCGCTGCCGAAGCCCTAAGCACCCCCGAGGGAGTTCAGAAGGTAAAACACAATCTACTCTTGGCACCACTATTATGCATCACGATAACGTTGGCAGGCTATTCGCTTGGATGCTTGGTCGGCCTTCAAGGACAACAAGCACGCTCTCAGCGCTTGTTCTGCCCTTATCGAGGGGTCAATGGACAAGAGGTACATCATCCACAACAGCCTCCATACATCATCATTCGCGCTCTCCTGTTCACAGTCTAAAGAAGTTCTTGAAGAAGAATATAGTCGAGGCCGGTGTTGAGGACGAACTAGCCGTCGCCGATCTCAAGCTCGGCAGTGTAATAATTATAAACTCGATTCGCTTTGAGAAAAAACTGCGCGATCTGTCGTTCGAGCCGCATGAGGGAAGAGTGAGCGTCAATCCCTTCCCAGGCCATCAGCAAGAAGTTTGGTATCCAGTGCGTATCCAACGCCACTACCAACCAGCTTATGCGTGGCATCAGAGAGCAGCTCTCTACCTTGGTGGAAGGTCTCGATGATAAGGAGCAGAGGACCATGGCCCTTGGTCTCTCCCATACCCTCAACAGGTAGAACCGTCTTTCTATTACTCCAAGAGGCCTATCAAGCTCCTCAGATTCAAGCTGAAGTTCTCCCCCGAGAAGGTCGATACCATGATCATCCAGGCCGTGGCTTTGCTCGATGATCTGGACAAAGAGCTGAATAACTTCGCCATGAGGCTGCGTGAATGGTGTGTCGAGGAGGATGAGGGATTCTCGTTATACCCGAGGACTTAGGTACGGCTGGCACTTTCCTGAGCTCTCCAAGATTGTTACTGATAACTACTCCTATGCTAAGGTTGTGAAGCTCTTGGGGTAAGCGATGGGGGTATATATATAACTGTTGTGAAGGCAGTGTGGTTTCATAAGCGCTCATATTCATACTCAATGTTTAGGTTCCGAACAAATGCTAAGAAGTTGAGCGAGGAGGCTTGGGCTGACATCATGGCTGATGAGCAAATTGTTGCTGACATCAAGACCGCCGCTGAGATCTCCATGGGTGTCGAGATCACAGAGGAGGATTTGGTAAGCCTTCAGGTTCGAATCCAACAGCGTCTCATATGACTCCTTCAGGGCCACATCCAAGAGTTGGCTGATCGTGTCCTGGAGTTGACCGAGTACCGCGCAGCTTTGTCTGATTATCTCCATCATCGTATGGAGGCCATCGCCCCTAACCTCACCTACATGGTCGGTGAGCTTGTCGGCGCTAGATTGATCGCCCATGCTGGCTCTTTGATGACTCTGGCTAAGCATCCCTCTTCTACTGTACAAATCTTGGGTGCTGAGAAGGTAGGCTCATAGGTTTTCTCTGTTCCGTTTGCAGGGAGATATCTCTTTAGGCACTGTTCCGCGCTTTGAAGACTAAGCAAGATACTCCTAAGTACGGTCTCATCTACCATGCCTCACTCGTTGGTCAGACTCAACCAAAGTTCAAGGGTAAGTGGTTACCGGATGTTGGAGTCGTGTAGCGATGAGTGTTGACGGCTAGGTAAGATCTCCCGAGTGCTGGCTGCCAAGCTTTCGCTATGCGCCAGAGTCGACGCTCTTGGTGATCAGACTGAGGTTACTGTCGGTGAGGGATATAAGGAGTATGTTGAGAGGAGGTACGGTATCATGCATGACACAATGTATTCACTTCACTCGATGGCAGGCTTCGGCAGCTTGAGGGAGGCAGCGTTGCTCAGGCGACCAAGGACTACTCTAAACCTGCTACTCAGAAGTACAGAGATCTTCTAATTCGTTGGTCCTGTTCGAGAGATGTGCGTACTAGGTACAGCAAGCCAGCGGGTGGTGTTCCTACGTACAATACTGAAGCTGATGCTGTGGTTGAGGAAGCTGAGAATGCCGTGGACTCAAAGAAGAAGCGTAAGCACGAGAAGGTCGCTGATGATGAAGATGAGGAGGTAATGTTACGAGGACTTGTGAAATATACTCATGGGATCGATCTCAGGTCGAGGTTGATGTTGATGTGGTTAAGACTAAGAAGAAGAAGTCAAAGAAGCATCATCATCACAAAGAGGCCACCGAAGAGGAGTAGAGTTCTTCCCTTCCTCAACGTCAGATTCAGTTTACCAAAACGATCGATGTTGAGTCACTATAGTAACCGTTCAATCGGTCTTGGAGTATATAGTATTCCTGTCGTGAGAATGACCGTGGGAGGGTGCTCCTGAGCTGATAACTCTTTGTTTGCCCCATTATGTAAAGGACTCAAGCTCGATTATCCATATTATGTATCTCCGAGGCTTTCTTTTGAATCTGTTTCTCAGTCTCATTCAGATATGTGGAATGCTTCGTCGAGTTATGGCGGTGCTATTCTATAAGTTTTCCTGGTCGGTGAGTTTATATTGCGGTTGTTATCCATCGGGACACGTGAGGGGGTGGCTTGCCGGGTGTTGGCGGAACGTAGTGCTCTGTGGTCAGCGTTATCGGTTTGTCAACCTCTTGTGGAGCAGATTCGATTACACCTTCAGCCTCAATAGAATGAATTTGCGCGCCTTGGACTACTATGCCTTCCTGTGATGAATCACATCACAATCATGTTCGCAGGTCAACGAGGTAGAATGATCAAGCTGGTCGGTGTGACCGATGTAACTTCGCCTATCATGGGATGGCCTGGAGCAGGTTTACCAACTGGAGATTTGATCTCTGCAAGATCGTGGCGATTGGAATTTGAGGTGCGCCGGTCGTCTCGACAATCTTACTACAGAAGATGCCGTGCGAGGCACTTCTTAGTATGGCATAGTTGCCCCACTCGGAGGTTTATTTTTCATTACAGCATATCTTAGTATGGCATAGTTGCCCCACTCAGAGGATTATTTTCCATTAGAGCATATCTTAGTATGGCCTAGTTGCCCCACTCGGAGGATTATTTTCCATCAGAGCATATCTTAGTATGGCATAGTTGCTCCACTCGGAGGATTATTTTCCATCAGAGCATATCTTAGTATGGCATAGTTGCCCCACTCGGAGGAATTTTTCTCATTAGAGCATATTTTTGGGTGGCATAGTTGCTTTACCCAGAGGAATTGATTGTAATAGGGCGTATCTTGGGGTGGCTCAGTTGCCCTATGCGGAGGAGCTGATAGTACTGAGGAATATCTCGGGGTGGCATAGTTACCCCACCCAGGGAAATCAATTGTGATAAGAAATAACTTGGGATGGCATAGCTGCCCCTGAGGAATAGATGGTACTAAGGAATATCTTGGGATGGCATAGTTGCCCCACCTGAAGGAATTGATTTTACTAGAGAATATTTTGGGATGGCATAGCTGCCCCACCCGAAGGAATTGGTTCTAAACCACTGCATTACTGATTCTCTTGGTCATCGTCTGAGAAAGTGTTATTGTGTTATTGTGGGTAGGCGGAAGTCGTTGCTTTGGCAAAGCCTCCTGTGAGGAGGTATCGTCAGAAGGCAATCTCTTCTCAACGCTAGTCGGAAACTCGGGGCTCAGCATTGTGATATATGAAGG